TCTTTCCAAGCATTTCCCCCCTCTGTGTTGACACAGAGCCTCCCTTCTCTTACCTCATGAATATTTGACATGGCATAAGTCTTTTGGAAGCCTAGAGCAAGTGAAGCTGGCTCTTTCCCTTCACCTGTTTCCCTTTCTTCTTTCCTTTCCTGGTTTGTACTGTGTCTCACCACAGAGTGAGAACTTAAAAAGAGAGGACTAGAAGACAGGAGAGAGAGAGACAGAGAATGGCAAACAGACAGGCAGATGAAGCAGGGCATAGGAGAAACCCACAGGTACAGGAGAAGAAGGTGAAGAACTGGGCCTTGACGTTCTTTGACAGGCCACAGAGCATGAAGGAAATACTCTCAGCGATCTAATAACCCCATCTCCTCCCAGATTTTGAGCTCATAAGCTCCAGGTAGAGGTAAATTGCTTCAAATATCTCTCATGAACACCAAGTCAAAGAAAAACAGCTTTCCCTCTGTCCAGCACACACTCCTACGTGCTATGTTGGCTTTTGTTTAGCTCTGACAGTATGGTCACCACACATGTCCCCTTGCACATTCACACCCTGGCTCACACCATAGCAGGAAAGTGAAGGTCGGGACCTCCTATGAGTACCATGTCTTTATTGCTGAGGGATTTGTCCAGTAGCAGCAGCAACCAAACAGTGACCGCTGACTGAGCCATGTGAAACCTGGGGTGATTGAGTCTTGTTCTGATCCCCCTAAGTACACCCATCTTAAACCCAAAGAAAACTTTCTGAAAGAAAAAGTTTTCATGGGATTCCTAATAATACCAGGTCCAGAGTGGCAGACCCAGCCTTCAGGAAGGGTGGGAGAAACTCATTATTCACATGAGGGTGAGTCCAGTGATTGTCAGCCTAACCTCTTACCAAGAAACAGGTCAGCTCCTAACCAACGGCACAGCTACACATGAATGTAGCCAACACTCTTCATTGCCATGGGGCAGGATGCACCCTGGGACCATTTACTTCCAAAACTGCTTGCTCCACACTCAGTATTTGAAGTGGAGGAGAGAAGACATGAAAAAACAGAACACTTCAGAGGCCAGGGTCCAGGACACAAACATTTTTCAGTAAACATGAGATGGCAGAGATAACAACAGAACAGAAGAACCCGGAACTTCAGGTTTGAGGAGAAAGACCGTAAAATTGGGAAGTTCAGCTCTTAAAGCAGAAGCCAGCTGATGGAGAGCAGTTGATAAGGAGTATTGATAAAACAAAACTGCTACTATTGTTTATTTATAAAGAAAGGAAGAAAGGAAGGAAGGAAGGAAGGAAGGAAGGAAGGAAGGAAGGAAGGAAGGAAGGAAGAAGAAAATCGATGCTCTGAAAATCCCAAGGCAATACAAGGCAAATCTCAAGCAGACAGAGAGAGCTTCTTTGCTGGCTATACTGCTCACTGCATCTATATCCCCTGTTCTTATTGGACTGACCCAAGGACCTTGTCAACTAGAGTGGAAGCCACCTCCCACAAGCTCAGCTCTCTACATCATCAATCCCAATCCCGTTTCATCTGTGTCTCGTTCTTCATGAAATAACCTTGGGCTGCTGTAATGGGTTACTTAGGTAAATTATTTTAATTTGCTAGTTGGTTCATATGGACTTATTTGGGGGAAATTATACATTAATAATCACATCTTGGCTATTTGACAATGACTGAGTCATTTAATATGTTTAGGCTTCCATTTCCTTCTCTTAATTAAAATAATGGGGTGAATATAATATCAAAGATACAGGGTGATGTTTCAGTTGGGGCTGTAGTGAAAATCCAGGCAGGCTCCCAGGGGCTGTTTGTACGGCAAGGAAGGAGGGATGGAAGAGTGTCTGAAGGAAATGAACATAGCAGCCTGGGAGACTGCAAGCTGAGCATAATTATTACTGCATCCTCCAGGGGGAAGGAAGAGCCATGCAATATGTTCCCGAGGGGCTTGGGCTTCCTATTATGTTTATTAATCATCTTGATGAAAACGGAGAGTCTGCATTGATTAAATTCACTAATGATCCTACACTGAGCAGGGGAGTAAATTCCAGAAAGGATGGATTTATAAGGTAAGCGTTAATATTAATCAACTCGTCTTCACAAAATGGGTAGCAATAAATGAAATAGGATTTGCAGTAGCAAATGGCAATGAGGTGCCCGTGGGGGGCAAATATAATGAGGCCAGACCCAAGCCAGGAAGCAGTTATTCTGGAAATGGTAAGAGAACGGGAGAGTGGAAAATGAAGAATAAGTTAAAAACAAACTCTTGAGGTGGATCACAATCTTACTCCCAGTCCTCTCGTGACAGATGTTAGAGAGCGGAGCCACAAGAATGGCAGTTAGAAGCAGCCAGGGAATGAAGTACGACATCTATGAGTGAGGGAACTGAGGCCCAGAAAGGCTAGGGGTTAGGAATGAGGTCAGAGTAGGAAAACCCAGAGTAGCATGTCCCTTCTTCACTCAGTCCCCCATGTGGTGGCAGATGATGACTCCCTCTTAAAGCTTGAGTTTATTCTCAGAATCCTTCTCAGCACTGTACTGTGTTCTCTGAATACTTAGCTATCTCTAACTTGGACCACTGAACTACACACAGACAGAGCCATGGCTAAAACCCGGTTCTGATTTTGCCTACTGCTGCTTCCTCACCCTCTTAAGTTCTACAGTGTCAAAAGTCAACATCAGCTATAACTTCAAGACTCAAGCACTCAGCAAACACCACCGACTTCTTAGCCAGGATTCGGAGCTTGGTCTCCACTATAGTCATCTGAGTTTTCTTGATCCATATTCATTTCCCCCCCACATTTGTTTAGGTTGCAGTATAGAGACAACAATGAGAAACATCTCCAGTTTCAGACCAGTGAGGGTTGTGTACCTGAGAAACACACATAAAACACTCCGTAATAGGAAGCCGTGGAATACAAATAAATGAAGCTTCTGTCACAGGATGTGACAAGACTAATGAGTCTTGCTTTTCTCTTGAGGCACAGAGTGAGTTTTATCTGCACAAAGTGTTTTTGAGAGACATCCTGTGTGTACCAGGTCAGTTTAGTTCAGCTGGGGAGAAAGAGAGGGAGAGGAAGATCCACCTCAGCAAAATTATGAGGTAGGTGAGTCTGTCTACTTTTCAGTTCCTTATATTCCTCTTTCAGTTCCTCTCCCCAGGAAGCTCATGGTGCTCTTAACACTCGTGTGTTAACACACACGCGCACACACACACACACACACACACACACACACACACACACACCAGTGCTGTCTGGCACTGAACAGGAGTTTAGAGCAGTTTTCTCAGCCTCCTCGCAGACACAGATCAGTGCTCTACCTTTGAGTCCTTCCAGCAATCCTCCTTCCCCTGGAAATGTACCTAATAACATCAGCTCTGACTCATAACTGCACATGCTAATGGTTCGCTGACCAAGAATTTCCGGAGGACCCGCCCTGTAGCGCAAGTGAATGAATTACTTGAGTAGAAACTTTTAGCATATGCCTGAAATAAATTTCTCCTTAAGTATGCTGTCCAAATTGTTCTTGGGTCTTGTAAGAAGTAATGTAACCAGCTATAACCACAAAGTCCCCTATGCCAGTCTAATTTGATAAGCATCTTGCAGCATGTAGGGTCCTATCACACCATGACAGAGTGTTAAGAGCTTGGGCTCTAGAATACATTAACCTAGGGTTCACCCCATCTCAGATGCTTACAGAGATAAATAAAGCACCCAAATATTCCAAATATACATCTTTAAAGAATGGATTTCTTGATAGATTTAACTAAGAGAATATATAAAAGTCATCTCAGATGGTGTTTAGCAAAAAAAAAAAAAGCTATGTATAATACCAGTCATTTCCTTTATCCAATAAATACGCCCCTTCATCCATGGTTGCTACCCATTCCCTGTTTCTTGTCATGTATGGTACTTATTTAATTTGCCAAATAAACCAGTCAATTTGATCACAAATAAAAATAGATGCAAAACAGCTCACATGCCCGGGAGATGCTCAAATTATTAGAGATACTTACTATCTGTTGGCTAATGGTTCAGGGATGGATCCAGGTTTCATAGACCCTAATATTATTTAATTTTAAAATCTTTTAAAAAGGAAATAAACAAATAAATTCACACATAAGCATGGCAAAATTATGCTGATGGGGACCTTTTTGGGCCTAGAGACGAGGAGCAAAAGAGGATGGATGTGTTTCAAAAGATCAAAAGGAACAATCTTATGATACACAACTTGGCATCTTGACTGAGCTGTAACATGAATGCTAACACTGCATAAGACCAAACATAAACAAATAATTACACATTAAATTCATAGGCTGAGAAAGATGGTGTGTCATCAATGCCAATTTTTTAGTGTTAAAATTAAACTGTAGATTTTGCAAGATGTTGGCACTGGGAGAAACTAGGTCAAAGAAAGATTGGATCTCTGTTTCTTTCCATAGCTTATATACCTGCAATTATCTGAACATAAAATGTGTACTCTAAATAATTAGATAGGAGCTGGCGAGATGCCTCAGGAAGTATGAGAGCTTGCTGTGCAAGTGTAAGGGACTGAGTTCAAATTCCCAACACCCATATGAAAGCTGGGCATGGTTTCATAGGGACCTGTTGAGGGCAGAGGTGTGAGAACTTCTGGGGCTTACTGCAAACCAGACTAGCTCCAGGTTCAACAAGAGACTCTGTCTCAAGGGAACAAGGTAAAGAATGACAGAGCAGAATTTCGATGTCTTCCTTTGTCCTCCATGAACACACACAGTGCGAATACCTGTGTATCTACACCCATGCACATACAGCTCATGTGCATATATACAATATGGATGGAAGGCCTGGGAAGGACTTGTGCTAGGGGAGACAATGGGACAGCTAGGCTTCCTAGAACACACATGTCTAGTTAAAGACAAAGAAGATGGATGAAAGATGAGGCAGAGTAAAGAATAAGCCATTACAAGACCTGAGTGAACATGTGCACTTTCCAGGACTATCTGCTTTTACATACACATCAGGGACTCACCCACATAAATAGGTTGACTCCACTCGCCCCAGCTCCCAGATACTCTGCAAGATGAGCTCACAGCTGCTCTTACTTGAATGGAATATGTAGAAACCTCATCAATTTTTGAGATGAATTTGTTGGTGGCCAGTTTTTCCATCTAAATGGGAAAAATTAACATTATAATAGTGCCTAGCCATATTATTTATGTGGAAAACCAGCTTGAGGAGTCATGTGTACATAATGTGACTCATTGTTTAGCAAGTAATCTAAAAATCAACAGGGCATAGTCATGAGTTTATTCTACACTGTTCCAGTGTGAGGTCTCAGCAGTTACCCTGAGGGAGAAAGTGATCTTGTAACTAACATATATAAAATGGTCAGCTGAAGGGCTACGTGAAGCTGTGTAGACAAAATAATGTGTCATATGGAAAAATTGGAGTCACCTTTAACAGCATACATAATCTCTGTTACCTTGTCCTTCCACATTGGTAAGTCATAGTATTAAATAGCATGTAGTTTGTGCCTGTTCAGCCCTGTCCAATGACCACAGCCTGTGTCGGCTCTCTGCTCTATTGCCTGGGTGGTCTTATTAGCTAATATCCCTGTACTCACATGGCACCCCTCACATCCACCTTTCACACTGCTGCCAAGATGACATTTCTACCCTGTAAATGCTACTTTTCTCCATCCTGTAAGATTCTTTGACAATGCTCATTGTCCATGGCGGTAGTTTTAAAGTAGATGCTCTTTGGCTTTTAAAAAAAACCTCACGGTAGAGTTACAAATCTAGTGCTAGCCTTGTGTTGGGCCAGCTCACTCACTACCACTTGGCTGAAGGAAGCTTGCACTCTCTAGCCGCGGTGTTATTCCTTTTCCTCGCACACCCCTAGCAGACACAGTGTGGTTGTGGACTGGTACAGGTCAGGAAGTGCCATTTGCTGCTCTATGATAAGATCAGTGCAGACAGTGCAAGCAGTTTGGAAATGGAGAGCCGTTGGACATTGCTGTGACATCCAAGCCCATGATCAGTTGGCTTGCATTTTGCACATCTTTGGCTGTGTTTGTTTTGTTTTTCTAGTTGATCCTTTTTAATGTATTTTAAGAACTACTCTCTTTTCCTCAGTAGGCAAGTTTCTGTCTGATACCCCACCACCACCCCTAAGTTGCATTCACCTCCTTGTTGTGGAGGCCAGCAAGGCTATTTTCCTCTTCTCCCTTCTATACTCTGTTGATCTTCCCTATGGTGGGGAGCCTCTGATACATTTGCCAGAGCAGAACTCATTTGATATGTCCATTTACTTTTCACTTTATTTATTTTTATTGTATTGGTGTGTTGCCTGTATGTATGCCTGTGGAAGGGCACCAGGTCATCTGGAACTGGAATTACAGACAGTTGTAAACTGACACATGGGTGCTGGGATTTGAATCTGGGTCCACTGGAAGTGCAGTCAGTGCTTTTCTTAACCACCAAGCCATCTCTCCAGCCCCATGTTACGTTCTTGGCAGATCATTTGAAAGCAGTGTGCCCCATGATATGGCACATAATTTAAAATTAAGAAGACATAGTAATAAATTTATTTCAGACCAAAAAACAAAGGCCTTATTTCTCTTTATGCGTTACCCCAAGAAACTAATTGTAGATATTGGTTAAATTTAATTAGATGGTGTTTACTGTGTTCCTGTTAATTATTTTTACATTTATTTGTTTGTGTGTGTACATGCATACCACAGCATGGGTATGGGGCAAGAGAACAACTTGACGCTGTCTCTTCTCTCCATCCACCTTGTGGGCTCTAGGAATTCAATGCAGGAAAGCATGCTTAATGGCAAGGGCCTTTACCACTGAGCTATCTCACAGCTCCTCATTTATTTTATGTTCAACAATCATGACTTCTATATTTCTTCTTTAGCTTTTTGACTCTGAGATATTATTCATTTTCTTTTTCCAGGGGAGTGGCCTAATTACCAATAAAATGGGAACCATAATTATGCAACAGTTATTGTGGACAAGGTTTAAAACAACATAAGAAAACTCCATGGGTGTTAAGATATGCCCCCTGCACCATTGTCAAGCATGCAGGCCAGGAATGTTGAATAGCCATGCTGTTGTGCAACCTGACTACAACACATTTTCATCTTACATGTCTGGAGTTTCTGGTTGGGGATGTGTCTCATGTTCTGCATGCATGAGCCTCTCTATTCAATTTCCATCACCCAATGATCAAAAATTCACAATCTGAACATTAGGTTTCCATTAGACAATGGTTCCTCATTTTCCATTCCCCATTTCCTAGCAACCATTGTGCCATCTTCTATTTATATGTGTTTTACTACCTTGGTATCTCATGAAGGCAGAATAGTGTGCTATTTGTCCTTTGTGATCTGCTTATTTCACCTTGCTTGCTGTCCTGAGGTTCATTCATATCATAGCATGTATCAGAATTTCCTTTCGAAGACTGACTAATGTCCCTTTGTCTATATTAATATATACTGCATTTTGTTTTTATGCATATTCTGTAGGGCATTGGGTTTTTCTTGTTTGTTTTCAGGAATCTTGTTACGTAGTCCAGACTACACCCCTGGCATTCCTCCTATCTCAGCTTCCCCTCCTGGGTCCTGGATTCACAGATGTGTTCCACCAAACCTGGCTCTCTGTTCATCTGTTAATGGACATGGGGGGGTTGCTTTAGCTGCTTCAGCTTTTCACAGGTGGCTACTGTGAGTTATGCTGCTGTGAGCACATGTGTCCAAATATCTTTTTGAGACCCTTTTTTGAAATAATTTGCATGCATACCTAGAAGTAGAATTATAGGCTCTTGGGATAATTGTAACTTTTGGGAAACTTGCCTTTCCATTTTGCCCAGTAGTTGTATCATTTGTAGTTGTTGTAAAGCTCTTACAAATGGGTTTTACTTTATCCTTGGTATTATTTTCAACTCAAACTATGTCCTTTCAAAATAAAAGTACTGTAGGATTTATTTCTGTAATACCCTGGGCAGGTGTAAGTCAACATTGACTCTGTTGATATTTAAAAACACCAGAGCAGTCACTACTGAAACTTTTAAATCAGCAGCTCTCAATCTGTTGGTTGCAACCACTTTGGCAAACCTCTATATCCAAAAGTATTTCCATTAGGTTTCATAACAGTAGCAAAATTGCAGTTATTTGGTGGCAATGAAAATAACTTTTTGGTTGGAAGTCACCACAACATTAACTCTATTAAAGGATTACAGCATTAGGAAGGTTGAAACCCACTGTTTGAAATGCTCCACAGATAATGGTGTCTAATATGGAATGCTGGAATGATATTAAAAATTACCTGAAAGTAACCATTCTTTGTGTTGTAAATTTTCAATTCATAACTAAAGCAATGGACTGGAAAGGCAGAAACTGGTTTCTCCCATTGGATATAAAGGGAAGTTTCTTCAATTCCAACTGTGACATTCATTGGAGGATTCACTTGATCTAGGTCATAGAAGGAGAGATAGGTCAGTGGCAACTTTGTAAAACCAAGGATCAGGGCTGATAGCCCCAACTTACCATTTCTAAGATATGCTTTTTTTTTTTCAAGGTTTACCATTAGGTCTCAATCAACCAATCTCAAAGCCACAGGAAGTGAGTCGCTTCCCATGAGGTTCTTGGTATGGCTTGCTGAATGGATTTACACATATAAAGAACAGAAATCACTACTCCAAGTGGAAGTGGTTGATTGACACCTTTCCCCTGTCAGTTCGATGAAAAGTATACCCAGCATCCCTTTACCTTTCCAAGTTAGACTGTACTAATGGACAGAACATGGACCGAGGGCCTCATCTCCAGTTCTCAGCAGGGGCATAGCTCTGGGTAAATCACTTCTACTTTATGGCTTCAGAATTTTTTTTTTTTTTGCTAGTGTTGTTTTATCAGACAAAACAAGAAGCTTTGCATAAATAGAACAGATTGAGCTAAATATGTTTTTACAGGAGTAAAGTACTTCAATGCTAGCATCAGGACCTGAGTTTGGATTCCCAGAACCCATGTGAAAACAGTTGTAACCCCAGAGCTGGGGGGTGGTGGTTGGGTAGTAAAGATAGATGGATCCTAGGACCTTATTATCTAGCTAGCCAGCCAGTCTGGCAAAAATGGCAAGTTCCAGTCCAGTGAAAGTCTCTGCTCCCTACAAAATAAAGCAGAAAAGCAATTGAGGAAGATATTCTGATGTTTATCCCAGGCTTCTGAATGGACAAGCACACCTACAGAAATATGAATATAGTACATATACACATTTTTTTAAGTAAAAGAGGAAGAAAGGAATGGGGAAGGAAAAAGGAGGGTGGAGGAGAAAAGAGAACTGTGGGCATATTGTTTAAACGTCTAGAGATGAGTCCAAACTGCCACAAAGAACCAATGAGGATTGGGGGGTAGCTTTGAAAGAAGAAACAATGTTGGAAAACAAAAATGAGTATCTTTGGACTGTAGAAGGACCATACCTTGAGGGAAAGGCTCATAATTGTTCTGAGTACAATCTATTACCTGTGGACACACATTTCATGAAAGCAGCCAGAATAGATCAGCACTGCTATGACTTTTCCTGGTGCAATAAATTCTCAACTAGAGAGAACTCTACACTCAAAAAGATACTTTTGATATGTGATTTGGTCACAACTCGGAGGAGGGCACCCACAGGGAAGATACAAGTTAGAAAACTCATGAATAGAAGCCAAGAATGCCACTAAACATCTTCCCTTGCCCAGGATAGTCCCCTACATTACCAAGTCAACCAGCGAAACATTTATGTAAAGTTGGGATGCCTGTCAGTTATTTTTTTTTTTTCCATTGGTTTTATGGCTGTTTAATATTTGAAAGGACCCTTTCCAATGCCAAGATTGTGCTATTTGATTATTCTAATGCTGGGATAAGTCTGGCTTACCAATGGCATGTGGAGTGAACAACTGATCAAAGGGCTTGATTGCAGCATGCTTGCTTGAGCCATTAACATGCACTGCAAGCTGCTCAAACCCCTTGCTGTTGATAAATGTCCTGGGAAACCAGCATGCAGTATTTCTGTTCAGTGTATCTCTGCTGTATTCTTGACATTCTTCAGTCCAAACACCAAACCTAAATTGGAATACCCATGAGTTTTTATAAGGGAAGAGGAAATGTATAATTTGCATAAGTAAAAATAGATACTGACTGTTGGGAACCAGCAGTCTGCTGACTCCTCCCCCCGACAATGGGCAGGACGCTCATGGCCATGTCATCACTACATCAGGCTTTACCTGGCTGCTCAAGGTTTACCTGGCTGTGCAGGGGACTCAGTTGCACATGCACATGTGCCCCTTTTAAAGCAAGCACCCCACACACCCCCTCTCCCCTGCATTCAGTTGGCCACCAGCCACCCCCCTTTCCCTCCCCTCGCTCAATAAACTCCACGTGGGCACTGAGTCTCGTGTTTGTGTTTCATAGGCAATAGTTGTATCAAAAGAACAACACTGACCTATAGTACAGGAAATACTGTGTGTCCTCAGGGGCATTCTTGCCAACAAGCCAGGTGCAGCGAAGCGACACTTGGTACGGCCTTAAGTGGGTGTGACTGCTCAGGACAGTGTTTGTGATGCAAGTTAAATTAATAACCGAAGTTCCAGAAGACCCTAGGGGACCACAAATAATAAGAACAAAACATTGCCATGATGGCTTATGAAATTTGTGCTTTTGCTTGAGATACTATTGATTGTAAGTCACCACAAACATCCATTTATAGAAACTCATTTGCAAAGGGTGAATTTACTGGAGAAATGAAACTAGAACTATAAAGCCTCAGGTTTTGACATAAAGGAACTTTTCAGCTACTTAGATGAAGATATGGGGGTGTGTCACTGAGACGGATGTCTGAAAGTTCAAGTCTTGTGTCATGTGTCCAACAGCTTTAGCACTCTAGTGCTGTATTTGTCATTAGCTGACTGGGAGGCATCTCTCCACATAATGTCTAGTTTTTCTAGCTGTAAATGAGGTTAGGTCAGGGAATCTCTCCAGACTCTTCTTTCTTCTTGAGTCATATGAGCCATTCCTTGGTATCTGTGTCTCATGAATTACATGGTTTACTGCTCAGGAGATGCATTTTGGAAATATCCCAAGATCTTACCATTATATTAGAGATCAGTGTACCTTAGCTTGGCAGTGTCCCTAACATACTATGACTTAAAATCTGAGATTTCAAATGTTTGCTTGCAGTGGGCTTCCCCAAATTATGTTTGTGCTACCCCAAGCACTCTCTCAAACAAACTTGCTGTTGTTCCTCAAAGAAAGAAAAGTGTACTTGGGGCTAGGGTCAGGAAGAACAAAACTCCCGAAAAAGGAAACCGTAAATGATGGAAGGGTGTTATGAGCAGTTTTCCCTCCAGCCTGGCCCCACAGCCGTGTCAGCCCCCAAATAACACATAGAGACGATGTATTATATATAAAGTGGGTGGCCAGTTACTAATGTTTCTTATTGGCTAGATCTACCTTAAATATTAACCCATTTCTATTAATCTAAGTGTTTTCACGTGGACTTGGCTTACTGGAGAGAGGGTCTGGACTGTTTCTCCCTCAGGTCTCTACAACTTAAATCTCCTCTACTACATTTCCTAGAATCCTCCTTGTCTCCTAGTCCTGCCTATCTTGCCTTCCTATTTTCCAACAGTGCTTTATTCATTAATCAATAAGAGAAACATATTTACAGAATGACAAATCCCATCAGAAGGGGTTTTATTTTCATAAAGCAGCTATAGATTAACTTTTATCACTGTCATGAAGTGTTTTTTAATGGACAGAGGAGAGAGCCTCCTAATGCCATATAGAAGTTGGAGACAGAAAACTGGTTAGTTTGCTATATATATGTATATATATACATATATATATACATATATATGTGTGTGTGTATGTGTATATGTGTATATGTATATGTATATGTGTGTGTTATATGACTTAGACACATATGTAACTATAAAATCATGTCTCTGTATCTATGTTGTTCCAGAACTTTCCCCCCCATACTAAAACCTTCAAATGTTCCAGTCTTTTATATGATGCCATCTTGCATATAATTTACACAGCCTCTGGTCTTGTTTAAATCCTTTCTAGCTAACTTGGATTAGTAAATACTTGTTAGACTGTGCTACTTAGAAAATAATGGCATGAAACAATCTGCTCATGAGCAGTATGAATGCTTCAAGAGGGCTCTTGATCCACATTTAGTTGAATCCATCAAAGTGGAGCCCATGGACACAGAACTTCCCCCCCTCACTCTCTGTGTGCATGCATGCATGTATACATGTGTCCACACACTAAACATCCACATAGTCTGTGTCACATCAAAATAAGTCAGCGCTTTCCCAGTTCCAACTCAAGAAATAATTCAGTATGAATTTTCACTTGGTTAGTGGCATAAATACAACTTGATTAGTGTGAACATGTGCCGGGGGTACTAGGGGAGTAATTAGAACTTTAGAAACTTAACACTGAAAGGAATATCACATAGAGGAAGCTCTGTTATTCAGTAGAGGTAAGATAATGGCTAAATGCAAAGTGCACAATGCCCCATATTTATGTTCATCTCTATTCCCCAAAGTACCTTCCTTACGTGGGGGCAAGTCTGTTGGTAACTCACTGGAAAATTATGAGTAAATGCAAGCATCTTGTGTTGTTACCAACACAGTTCAGGAGGTTTCTGTTTGATAAAGACTTTGTTCTGCAGCCCATGGTGTAGTTGGGAAGTGGAGAGCCCTTTCTGAGTTGAGGCCTCTGGGGAGGTCTTTGGGGAGACGTCTTTAAAGGGGATGATAGTTATACCCTTGCCTCCCTGACCATAGACCGCTACCACCTGCTTCTGGAGTGATATGCTGTGTTGTTACATGAACTAAAAATAGGCCTGACAGGTCATGGGTGGAAATCCCCACCCAAACCAGAAACGAAATAAGTCTATTATCTTACATATTTGTTATAGTAAAAAGAAAGCTGACTAACAACACAGGAGGCAGGATCTTCTTATCCAATGATGTGGATTGGAGAAAGACTTGCAAAATGTTCACAGATATGGAGTTAAGATGTATATGATTTAGGAAGTTGCGTATCCTAGGATCCAATGGCCTACCCCCTTTTTTCCCCTCTTGTATTTGTGTATTTCTGTGTTAAAATGTTCAATTAGAGCTATCTCTGTTTATGTATACCAGGAAGTCCAGCTTCCACAGGAAACCAGTGTAGATACAGGGGTGTGCTTGCAGAGGTGAAACAGGTGGACCTGGATTGCCTGAGAGCTGTGGTTAGAATGGGGGGTGCTAGGAAGGCGTTTGGAAGGTGTGGTGCTGGGCTAGAGAAAAGAGGTTTTCTTTCCCATTTTCAGAAGGGCAGAATATGAAATTTAGATGCCCCATGTCTCCTTTACCTGGTGAAGCTTTGAGTTCAGCAGAAACCCAATTGCTGGCCAGGAAAGAGTTGCTTCTCCATAAGATGCTCCTCACATTAGCTCCAAAGCCATTATGAAGGGGGGCCACATATTTGCTTTCAGTCTTCCTGGTATTATACTAAAATAAAACACTCTAGTCATAGCATATAGTAGAAAATAACATTAATCAAATAGGCCTTTTACTCCACTTTGAAAATGATAATAAGTAAAAATGAAGTAATTTTCTTAGAAAAGAGGCATTGTAATATTAATAGACTTTCTCAATGACACATGAATATATTCCTCTTTTCAGAACAAAAACCATATTGTAATTAAATCTCAAGTCCCCTTTGATTCTCATCTTTCATGCCAGTCTCCTCTCTAGGAGCACTTCTTGACAGAAAATTCTTTAAAATTTCATGTTTACTCCCAAATTCTTAATACAAAGCACATATCCTTTTCTTTCACCTTACTACAAATGTGTTACACAACAGATGTGTTAGCATATCTTCATTATAAATCTGAAAAATAACTCAAGACCTTAGGATATAAACATAGGTAGTGAATGACCTTGGCCTTCACCTTGGATTTTCTGACCCTATACTGTACCTTTCCTTTTTACCATTTTGATCACCACTTTCTTCTAGTTTTATTGACATTTTAGAAGATATATAAACAGTACTATCAAATGCATTACACTTTAAACGCTGGTAATTAGTCTTGGAAGATGGCTCAATTAATAAAATGACTGTTGTGTGAATACGACAACTTGAGTTTGGGTCCCCAAATACATGTAAAATTCAAGGCACATGACAGCATGCAGCTGTAACCCCAACTCTAGGGGTAGGGCAGAGGTAGGTGGATCCCTGATGCCTAGTCATATTGATAAGCTTGCAATTCAGTGAGAGATTTCTCTTAAAAACAAATGGTTTTGGAAAGGGATTACTCAAAGTGTCATACCTCTACATATACACCCACATGAACATAGACACAGACACACAGTCAAAAGTTCATAACACACACATGTGCATCCCCCCTCTCTGTCTCTCTCTCTCCCTTCCCCCCCCTCTCTCTCTCTCTCTCTCTCACACACACACACACACACAGACACACATACACATACACGAGGGAGACAGAGAGAGACAGGGGGGATTTTCCTTGAGATAAAGACTTCTATGCTACTGTTTAATTTTGAATAATATGCATGAGTCCTATTCACTTTACAAATCTTACTAGTAACACAAGAAGATTTTTAGTAATTGGCTGTACTTTATCAAGAATTTCACTTCATGAAGAAAAATGCAGTTTAAAAAAGAATATTCACTCTTAGTAGTGATTGTCATCAGAGCCAGAACTTACTTCATCTTTTTGTGGAACATTTATTTTCACATGATACTGTAGATCAACATTCCTTTGCTCTTGGTCAGGATTTGGGTCCCAGTGTAAAAGAACTTGAGCTAATCCGGTGGCTTTAATGGTAAAATTGACAGGTGGTAGAAGTAAAACTAAGGATTCAAAAAAAAAAAAAAAATGATACAATGTTCAATTGTCCATAAAGACCACTTTTTATATATGGTGCTGGGGGTGAAACTCGGGGCCAGTGAGTGTGAGACAGGTATTTTATCACTGAGCTACATTCCCAGTCTTTAAAATATTTTAATTATTTTATTAAATAACATACTGATTTGCTGTGGCTTATTAGAATATATGATACAGAAGTAATTTGGCAAAAGTTTCTTTAAAATTATTGCTAGTTCATTATCCAGTTATTACCTGTAACTGTAACATGGTTTTATTGAGTATGAATAATCTACCATATTGTTACTCATTAAAGCTGTAGTTTTCATAATAAGCCCCACAACCAGTGAATGGGATATGATAACAATTTCTGGAGTTGAAATTCCCTTTCTTTCATTTTCACAGTAGTATGGAAGATAAATAGAGCACACCAGAGGAGCTGGGGGGGGGCATATATTGGACCTGAAACAGTTGTCTCATGGACGTCTAGTTTCTGCTGCATAAAAGTACCTTCTTATTTGTAAGATCAATGATTCACAATGTAAAGTGTATTTATTTCTCATTATGAGCCATAGACTAAAGTATTTGAATAGAAAAAAGGATTTGCCTTCAAAATAAAATATTTCACTTCATTAAGGACTCAGTATTTATTGTAGAAATGCTATAAAACACAACGAGCAATAAGAAGAAAGTAAAAAAAAATAAATTCACATCTTATTTTGTTATGTTTTTCTGGGCGTATGTTTAAACAATGTCTTAAAATTTTTCACCCAAACAAGGGAAGCACTATACATTGTGAAACACATAATTTTAAATTTATTCATTTACTAAATTATCAGTGTTTTCCATTGACCTTTACAAGCCCTTCATGACCCTGCACCTGTGTCTGACATGCAAGAGTTTCCAGGACTGTCGATGTAGGTCACCTTTATTCCAGCAGTCACTGGCTACCATGGCTTTTCAAATCTAAATTATGTAGCTAAACCCCAAAGTTCATTGCTCCAGCTCCACTGTGTACAGTTGAGCAGCTTGGTGATTATGTAGACAGTGGCTATGTTCAGGGCAGTACCAAGATAGAATATGGCCTTTATAGAGAGTTCTAAACAGAGCTGGGCTGGTGCCATCAGACAGTTTTCCTCTCTTAACCTCCATCATCATACAAACCCTTAGATCAACAAGTTTCAGGGGAAAAAATGAAAAGAAAAATGGTAGAAGTTTGTTCTTGCTTCTTGTGAGGCCTTTCATGAAATTCCCAGTCGAGGTGAGGGTTCTAAATGTGGCCTCCAGAGGCTGCTTTCTTCCATGTTGCACATATATACTCTCAGAATTGAATTTCCTACTGAAGCATACGATTTACATTTCTGCCCACACCGCTTTCTTAACTCTCAAGAGTTTATACTGTTTTGTAACAATGTCCCAATTGAATATTTGTTTCAGAGAAAATCCCATTACCTTTTTTATAATATACTTTAACAAAAGCAAACATTATTAGATAGAAGGTCCTTACCCTTTCTGTCAGAAAGTAAGTCAGCTTGCAATATTGCCCAAGCCCCCACAAGAATTAGTAATGTAGGCAGCATGATGGTCAGATCCTATGGGAAACATGGAAGACAAATTCCAGATCATCAGATTGTCATTTCTAAGGAAAGCTGACAGCTACCTTTTAACATAAGATCAGGTCACTTAGCAACTGCTTATGATCTCTTTTGCATGCTGGGAATGCAAACATAAGGGGCTTTGCCCTAGGGTTGTAGAATGATGGTCTGTTTGGATAGAATGACACGCCAATCAATAATTAATTGAGAATAAATAATTGAGACATTGCCCACAGTGTGAAGTGTCTGGGGCACAATAGGTGTGAAGAGGCATCTGATTTGACTAACAGAAGGTGAATTAAAGTTCATAATACACACAAGGAGAGATTCCACTAGAATTTCACTGAGCACATGTGTAGAGCTAGAAGAAAAGAAAGAAAACAGGAGAGGATTGGTATTCAGGACATTAGAGCAGGTCTCAAGATCGAAAAAATTCTAAGCAATTCATAATAAACATAAACACTATCAGTTTCATTCATGTGTTTTTAAATTAGGGGCTCGGTGGTTGAGTTTTACCTAGGAAATCCTAGGTTCAACCCCACCACCCTTTCCCTTCAAGTCAATATGACAAGAAACTTACATTGATAACAATTTGTAATGTAAGAAACATAAACTTCCTTTTAAAGTCCAAGATAAATGTGTGGTATTTTGAGTTTGGGGGAAGATGATTTACTGTCTTAAGGACCCAAATGAGAACAGGACAGGAGAGGAAAAAGAACATGTTCACACACTTGGGAAAAGTGTAAGTATTTCTCCCTTCAGAAAACAACTTGGCAATGGGATGAATGGAGAGAAGAATGTTAGGCTGAGTGAATGAGGAGAAGCAGACAGTGTCAGCCCTTGAGTTCAAAGGGGGAATCAACAGCTTCTGTTGGGACCTGGAGATCAGAGATCTGGAGATTTTTCCCAGAGATCTACTGGAGCTCAACTCTAAGGATGAAAAGTATGTATGGCTTCCATCTGAGCTGTGCCTCCTCACTTAACAAAATAAGACATTATTTGTGTGTGTGTGTGTGTGTGTGTGTGTGTGTGTGTGTGGTGTGGTGTGGTGTGAACTTGGATCATACCTCAATCTTCAGGCCAAAAAAAAAAAAAAAAATTCTTTTGCAGCTTGATAGTAATTCAAATGACTTACAGGGCTAGGATGTAGCTCAGCTGAATAACCTTGCTTAGAATATGGAAGATCTTTGTTAGACAGCACTTTCCCAATAAATAATTTCTTATAAATTAGTAAGAAATTTTACTTAAAATTATCTAAATGGCTAGACGTTTTCAAAGCCTAATTCCAGTGCAGGCAAGACAGAGAACTTCATTAAATGGATACGTTCTAAAAACTAATACTTCATTATTTAATCACATCTTACAACATCTTACTTAATATATTGCTATTACTGCCCATGTTGGAGTAATAACACAAGAGCCATAAAGGGACAGCATATAGAAGTAATTCAATTCTTTCGTTCCTTCTTTTCTTTTCTTCCTCCCTCCCTTCATCCCTTCCTCCATTCCTCCTTCCTTCTTACCTTCCTTCCTTCTTCTCTTTCCTTTTCTTCCTTTCTTTTCTCTCTCTCTCTCTTTTTTTTTTTTTTTGTTCTCAAATAAACTTATCAGAGTTATGCCAGTTTTCACCAAAATAATCCTGTTTCTATTTCTGTGACACTCCCACCCCATATAAATGAATTTTTATACTGATCATGATCATGACAATGAAAACAGAAGCTGTAAAGGTCTTCTAAATTTTCAACAAGCCAGACTTTTCATGAGCAAAAGGGAAGCATTTCTAATGCACTAAGCCTAAAAAGCTCAGTTACAATGAATGTGCCTAGTAACAGCAAAGATAGAGGCTACTTCAAGTTATGAAAGCTCCGTCTTCAAATGTCAGCATTTCCTGACATGATGTCTAATTTGCCCTACCTTCACTGATTTTCATTAACAGGAATTCTAGGTCGGGGGGGGGGGTAACCCTCAAAATTAATACCCTGTAGTGACTTTTATAGACTGATAGAACAGGAAGTGTCTAAACACAGTGCTTGTAAAAATAACAAACATCTGTTTATCCTTTGCAATTAAATTGTTGAAGTAAATAATGACTCCGTTGAATATCTCAGTGGGGAGGTAATTGAATATTTTATATCAGTAAGCACTCTCTACTAGAATTTACCTTGTAGTCTGATTTTATAGCTGCTAAAAATAGGATTCTCTTTCAAGTTTGATCACTCAAACATTTTTTTACTAAGTTTTGGCCATTAATGGCACATGTTTTTTTGTATCTCCTAAGTTTTCTATGGAATAAGCAACATCTTTGAGAAAAAAAATCAGTTGTCCTATGAACAACACAAGGTGCTCAGATAGGCCACAGATATTTCAAAGTTAGGCAGATAAATTCCAGCAAAGGCTGGATATTAGTGGAGCTCCAACATTTGACTCTGTCTTTCCTGTGATTAGCAGACTCAGTTTCCCCAAACACTTGTATGCTTGGTCTCCGTGTGGCTGTTTAAAGCACATAAGCCCTTGGTAGGAACTGTCATCTTTGGTTAGGGATAAAAAAGATTCAAGCTCTTTGGTCTATACATTGAAAGTTACACTATTATCAACTGAGCTGTAAGTCATCATATTAAAATATAGTTAATGCAGTAGGTTTTTTTTTTTTTTTTTGTATAATCTCATGATGACAATATACCTACCAAATTTTTTTTCTTGGATATCAGCTAAAATGCAACCCAAAGCCATTACATTGTTAAATTAAGGTGCAAACTAAGAAGAATAAAATAAATCAAGATTGCCTATCTACAATTAGAAATACATGCTCTGTCTTTGAGGGTACTCAGAAAGAATTTCATCATGTGACAGTTCTGTGAGTAAACTTAAAACTCTGGAGTTCCCTCCTTGAAATTTAAAAGAAAACAGGCATACAGTCTCTCTCATGACAGATGTTTCTAGAAATTAAGTTAAATCTGGCTTTAGCCATTGATGATGGACTTCCCCATTGTTCCTGAGAATCAGTCAAATTCTCCTGAAGTTCAAAAATAAAATTTTCCCTTTCCATTTAATTTTTCTTCTGCCTGGAGGATTCATTTTATAACCAAAATTATGTTGGTAGCCCTATTTTTAGATCCTTTGTGGGTGACTTGTACTAACACCTAATTCCAAGTACAACCTGAGTAGCAGAAATTGAAAAGCCACTGGGTGGATTCATGCTCTTTTAGATTATTGCAAAGAAAAAATTTCTTTCTCTTTTTTAACCCTGTACAGCATAGTCAGCCATGAAATCCAATCTGGACTTGGGGGATGAATGCATAAAGGTTATGCTTAGCTAGGTGCATTGTGTTACCTCCACAGTGAAAAACTGGACATGCTCATAAAGAATATAAATGAGCAACAGGATGACACGTGCAACACTTTATGTTTCCCACTACTATACTTCCAAATTATTTTCTAAAATAGTCCTAAAATGTCACCCTCAGGTTCAAGTTGTGGTCACAAACAGAAAACATTCCATAAGTCCAGATGCAAATAGCTGCCACCCTAATATTCTCTATAGAGAAAGTGTTTGGTACAAATATCTCAATACTTAAATACATCGTGCCCATCTCATTTGGCACTAAGCGTTATTCACATAGACGCTTCCTCATTGGTGGACATACCTGTCTGTGGACGATCCCGTCAGTTCCACAGGTTCTCAACATTAGAAGCAGAGGACCACAGCTGTCGTGTCTGATTTCCCATCAGAGCCCCCAAACCTAGCACTCTATCAAGTGCAGCACACGTGCCTATTAGGTTTGGTCCTGTAAAGAATAGAGACAAGCCCTGATGGGTGAAGGCGGGTCTGTTCAGCATGAACAAAGGGACAGCTGAGATCGGCTGTGGGACTGTGTGGGGAACACCTAGCATGCCTGGCTCCGTGTGTGCCTTACTAAAAAATTCCCCACATTGCATTTTAAGTAATGTTAAACAAATGAGACTGTATGATTTCCAAAACTTTATTATATTTCAACATGTAAGCTTTTAATAACAACTACATAGATTTATCTCCAGACAACTACAGAAAGGAACATTTTAACAATAAGCAGAAATAGCAGGTAATGGAATGTTAATTCTAATTCATTGATTCGTTTTTCCTGTCTTTCCCCTTCCTTTTTCTGTTTCTCTTTTAAAAAATGCTTCCTTTCCATCCATTCTTTGCATGTATATAGAATATATATCTTCCTGGCTTTAGGTAACTAATTAAACTAGTGAGTATAAGGGCAAGGAAGATATTTCATAAACTTTTTGTACATTTTAGGTCAAATGAAAACGTCATGGATACCAAAGAAATTTCAGCAGAAACCAAAAGCAAAAATGCCTTCAGTTATACTATGACATCATTTCCTTGTTGTTGTTTGTCTCTGAATTTGGAATGTCTGAAATTAACTCTGAAACTTATTCATGATACTAACTAGGTTCTGTAATCTATTTTTGAAACTCATATATTTTTGAAGAGGTCTTATCACTAGATATATACTCCTTTTAATTTTCTAAGGTGTCTACAGAAGCAGAACACAAATGTCTTCTATTTCCAGGGCACTGACAAAACTTCAGATGTTACTTTAACAAGACTCACCTTGGTGTGAATGAGCGCATCAGACACAGAACAACCGCCAAAAATAGAACCGCATAGCCGGGACCTGTCCAGTGAGTTTCTTTGAGTTTGGTATCTCCAGTGTTTGCTCTGTCCCTGCTGATAACAGGGCTGTGAAGCGTTCTGTTTCCTCTTTTCTCTATTGAAGCATTGGCTATATGCTTACGAATTATTATTTCTCTTTTTCTGGCCCTCCTTTTTTGGGGGATCCTAGGTGTGTCTCCAGACTAGTCATAGAAAACACTATTTGTGTGCCCTACCAGCCGTCCAGTGAGTCAAGGGTTTGAGTTCCACTTGCTGAGAAGTGAGGGTGGCTATGTGATGTAAGACAGCAGCTGTGAACCTTATCTGTGGGTGCAGGGTTTGACTTTGTGGCTGTTCTTTACTCTTTCATCATCAGAGCTGTAATGGTGAAGAAGTCACAGGCAGTTTCCCTTACAGTGGAAAGGCCACTGACTGCTCTTTGGAAGGTGGTTCCCAAGAAAGCAAACCCATTAAAGAGGAGTCACACTGGACTCTCAGCGACTATTATAAGACAAAAGGCTTGTCTCCTCCAGACAGTCACAACCTGCTAACTCTGCAAGTCTCAGCCCCTGAGGGTGATAGGGTGCTGCTTTTGGGAGTTAGAATATTTAAGCTTCACTGGGACCAGAAGCCACTGTGTGTGGTCACTATCCCAACAGTAGGCTTATGTGTTGACAGGTTGCAGGGCCTGGCACATGGGCAGTTCCCTCCACCCAGAGCCTGGCCTGCATTTCTCTGGCCCTCAGACTCCTGCTTTGTTATTAAGTCTTGTGCCCTTAAGTGAACATGTGGGGAGAAGAGCACCTAGGGGTCTGAGTGTAATAAATTGCTAGCATCTGTCTAGCTTGACCCAGCTCATCCTTCATGAGCCCTGGCACTGAGTTCCCAAGGCACAATTAACATACTTTCCTAGTACCCAGTAGAGCACCCAGCCCTTGTTGCTGTTACAGTTGATACAGATGCATTTAGATTTTCCTGGCTCCTGCTTATTTCTGGGCATTTCAGTCTGGGGAATTTTGAGCTAAGCGACTAGCACAGACTCCTTCCTCCCCCCCCCCCCATTTAATTAACAGCTTAGAGTGGTTCTCAACCTTCCCAATGCAGCTACCCTTTAATACTGTTTCTCATGTTGTAGTGACCCCAAGCCATAAAATTATTTTGTTGCTACTTCATTATTGTAATTTTACTACTGCTATGAATAGCAAGGTATATATCTGATATGCAATTCCTGAGGGTCTCAAGCCACATGTGTGTACACAAGAACTGTGTTCAGTGCATTAGTTGAGCCTGATATTGTTAGCTACCTCTGGAAGGCCAGCTGCAGGCTCAGCTGTAGGAGTACCTGGAGCAGGAATCCTGGTCCCTAGAGAAGCTAGAACAGGAGTCTTTCAAAGATGGGCAGCCATCCCTTCAGGGCAGACAGAGAGGCCATTGTGGAGGCTAGATCAATGTTTCTGTTTGTGAGATAATAAATGTTGAGTCCCCTGAAGGAAACTTCTACACGGCTCAGCGTCCACACAGTGTGAGTACAATACTATGTGTGTTCTTGGGGGTTCCCAAGGTAACTGCTTTAAACAGTTGCCAAAGTGAAACCAGATCAATTATTATTTGTTGAGCTGAAAAATGTGATTTTCCTTGGGGAAAGAAGAAGTGAGACAAGAAGCAGAAAAAGCTCTAGCTCTTTTCTGAGAGCTGTCCAGGAAAGTTTAGGTGGCGTTCCAGCCATCTGCTTTTAGGTGGCGTTCTAGCCATCTGCTTTGCTCGTCCGAGTCCTGTGTATCTTAGTGTTGATGTAGCATGTCCACCACTAAAGAACATTGAAACTATTGATTAATCACCCTAAGAGTGGTATTTTGTATTTCAAAAGGCTGCTTTTAACATATTATATATTTCTTACATGTGTTTACCCAAAATGCATTTGCAAAAATTCAGATTTGCACCATGCCAGACCCTCTGAAGACTTTCAAAAAATTATTCTGGCTATGCCCCTGTATACCATTTTTTTTCTAAGGAGATGGTTTGATGTTTTAACTTATGACACCAATACAAAGCACAAATAATATGCTCATATTTCTCCTGTGTTTTCCTGTCACCTCAAAGGAAACGAAGAAAGGCAAGGATTTGCATAGTTTACATTTTATGGCATCAGTTTCATTCTTTAAGATAAAATATGTGTCCAAAAACATAGTGAAACATTCTAGAAGAATTCACAAAATTAGTTTTTTTTTAATCTGCCTCATTCCATAAGAAATGAAACAGTGAGGATTTAGCAAATGGCATAGGTGAAATCTGAATTGTAATTACATGGGAAGCAAGATGCAATGGCTTCCCCTTGAGCTCTGCTTAAATGCACTTATTAGTGTAATATATAGACCAAGGTTTATACAGAAGTGACAGAAATGCATTGTATCTTTTCTTACAATTGGAAAAGTAATATAGGGATGGGTGAAATAGATACAGCTTCTCAAGCTTCATTCATGTAAATATAAGATAGGTGATTATGGTAGGCTTCTTTATGTGTGTGTGTGTGTGTTTTTTTCTTTTTAATTCAGGGTCTTATGTACCCTAGGCTGAAAACACTCATTGTGTAGGCAGGCATGAGCTTGAACTCCTGAATCTTTTGCCTCTTCTAAGTTGTGGGGTTTACAGGTGTGTACCACTATGTTTAGCATTAGCAAGAGTTTTTGATTAGTACCTATTATAGAAAAAGCAATAAGAGAGTGTACACATGTGTGCATGCACACGCGTACACACACACACACATACTTTCATAATGTCAGTTTTAATCATATGAAAAATAGGAGGAAGGAGAGATTATCACTAAGTTGTAGGTGTCTTAGCTATTCACTCAGAACAGACACTATGTCATACCAGTGGTCATCAGTGAAAGGCATCTGTTTCTAACAAGCATGTCTTATTTTTCACTGGAGTCTGGCTTATTTTACATTCAGCTCCAGATCACACAGTGAGTTCAGGTTTAGTTAAGGCATCTCAGACATTTGGAACTAGGACTACTCCAGGCATATTCTTTTTTACAATGACATCAAAAGTGCCAAAGGACAAGATCCACCATTTAAGCTCATGTTGCTTATGTGCTCCGTGGTATTCTAAGGCCCAGATCATATAGCAGAATCAAGCCTACAATCAAAAGTCTTAGGCCCAAAGTGTACTCTGTCATCTGCACTTGTCAGGCCACAGACATACAGGTCAGTGAAGAACTGAGAGCAAAAGAATCCCACCAGGATTCATATTTCTTTTACTTTATCATGTGTTTCTCATATACTACAATTTTTTTTTTACAAATGCTCGAACAAAATTTACTTAAAAATATTGGAGTCACACTGATCTACTTTAAAAATATTGAACACATACTAATCAACAGAACAGAACTGACAATCCAGAAGTAAACTCTTAGATAAATGATCAATTGATATTTTTGCAAATAATTTATTTAGTATGTGTATATAGGTGTGTGTGTGTGTGTGTGTGACTTCAGAACTGCCTTGGTCATAGTGTCTCTTCACATCAATAGAATAGTGACTAAGACCCTGAGCTTGAACTATACAGGTTTTTAAAAATGAGTCACAAAACTGCAAGTAACAAAAGAGAAATGGGTAATCTGAGATTTCACCAAATCTTGTTCTTAGAAAAATCCCTCCAACTTTTTTAAAGATATAACACAGCAATGAAAAGAAAAATATGTAAGTTGAAACTCATTGAAGAATTTGAGCAGATATATACCTATAAAATGTGCCAGTAGCCAATATGCATATGAAAAAATGCATTAGTCATGGGGGATATTCAAATCAAACCACAGAGTGGCAACCTCTTTATAACCCACTACGATGGCTAAGATACAGGTGGTAACAAGTGTGGATGAAGAACTTCCAATGTCTTCCCTAGGGATGTAAATTGTGTCATCCAGCTATCCCAGGCAGATACCCACCAATAAAACTGAATGTGTGTGATCATATAAAAATTTATATGTGGTAGATTAGTGAAGCCCTTAGATCTTGTGGTTGGCAGCTGATACAGAAATTCTCAGAGAACAATTGTCCATGGAGTGCTCAGGCATAAACGAGGCATCTGTATCATACCCCTTATGCCCAGGTCTCGGGGACCATCAT